TGTGGGAAAGTCCATTGAATGTGGGAAGGTCCAATGAACGTGGGATGGTGCATTGAGTGTGGGAAGGTCCTTTGAGTGTGGAAGGGTCCATTGAGTGTGGGAAGGTCCAATGAACGTGGGATGGTGCATTGAGTGTGGGAAGGTCCATTGAGTGTGGAAAGGTCCATTGAGTGTGGGAAGGTCCAATGAGTGTGGAAAGATCCATTGAGTGTGAGAAGGTTCATTGTGGGAAAGTCCATTGAGTGTGGAAAGGTCCATTGCGTGAGGGAAAGACCATAACGAACTCTCACTTTATCAGCTAAATGAACGATCAGGCTGTGTTACTCGCTCTGGAGGTATTAAGCTTCATATTTAAGATGTCAAACCTCAATGAGAAAATGCGTATTAAAACGGTTAATTCGATCAGTTTTGCTTTGGTACGTCAACCGTGAATGTTATTAGAGAATCTACAGAAAGCCTTAAAACCAATGGCTTTTGAGATCTGCACATTAACCACTGGGTTTCTGGCAGGCGATCAAAGTTTTTTCTAACAATTTTTGTTAGTTTTTTTTTCTATTCTTTGATTATTTTTGTTGCTTTCTAAAGCGGCTTCTCTTGATGGCTTTTGAGAAAAGCGCGTTACATATTCTTATAAAAAGACAGTTTCCCTTTTAGCTTTTATGTTTAATGCCTGCTTAGAGTAGAGTTCATCATCAATCAGTTGACAACACATGCAACCCACTTACACATTCCACTCGCTCCATTACTGCCCCTCCCTTTCGAAAATAATGAAATTAATATCCTGTGATGAAGTCATTTCGGCTCCATAAGAACACTTCACTTTAGCGACATGCGAACAGTCAGTTCGTAACTCGAAATCTACCTCATTCAGTGCACTTATACTTTATTCAACATTTGGGTAGAACGTTAGAATTCGTAACTCGAAAACCACCTCAATCAGTTCGTTTATACGAGGTCTGTCTGAAAAGTAATGGGACTGGTGTCACAGACAATTTATTTCAATTCCAAAGGACAAATTACATGGTTTCCTCTTCAAAATAATCCCCCCTTGAGTCTAATGCAATTTTCCATCCTTCTCTGCCACGTTGGAAGGATTATTCTTGGATGCCTCTCAGCTCCGTTGTTACGGCCCCCTCTTGATGGCCTCCACACCTTTAAAACGGGTCCCCTTGATGATTCTCTTTGAACTTGGAAAAAAGAAAAAAGTCACATGGAGCAAGAGCAGGTAAAAAAGGAAGTTGTTGCAGTATGGTGATGTTCTTCTCGGCCAGGAACTGCCGGATGCTCAAGGCGTTGTGAACAGGTGCATTGTCGTGGTAAATCAGCCATGATCTATCCTGCCACAAAAGCATGCAAAAACAGAAATGCTATGATTTCAAAGACCCAAGATTATAGTTATATAGTTCCAAGATATCATGTTAGATGATAACACAATCCTATTATTCCTCTTTCACTCATAGCTCACAAAGTAAACTCCGTTACTTATCAGACACACATCTTACTCCATTCAACATGTGACTTGAACGTTAGAATTCGAAATCCAACAAAATCAGTTCATTTATACGTTATCCAACTTGTTGCCAGAACGTTCCTATTGAGACTCAGATCTACACAAGTTTTTCATATAAAAAGGAGCGGGTACTGCCTTTTGGAGAGGAAAGTTTCCAGCAGTCAACTCTGACAGTCGGACCGAACATTCTTGTCGTAACACTCTCGTTTGTATTACTGTTTCTGTTAATGTATTTGTTTAACTCAATTCCTCTCTTTGTGCCTTTATTTCTGGCCCTAACAAGGTCACAGCACACACAAACACACACACACACACACACACACACACACACACACACACACACATATATATATATATATATATATAAAGTGAACATTGAAGTCAACACTTAGAAGGCAAGGCGACAGACTCTTTCATTCTAGATGAAATTGTCAGGCGAGGCGCAATCGTCAGATAGCCTGAGGATTGCGTCTAGCATGAAACAACCTGTCGCTTCTAAATGTTGACTTCAATGTTCACTTTTATATTTACACACGCTCTATCTCTGATATTGAGCACTTTATCCCATAAATATAGCACACCTTAAGAGTATATATATATATATATATATATATATATATATATATATATATATATAATAGAATAAAAAGATGGTCTGACAAATGCGTTTAAGTATGAAACAGATTGTAGCCGCAGTTGACCATTCACCGTTCATTTGGGGTTTTATTTCCAGGGATACCTCATTTAAAACGCTTGAGCCATTTTTGGGCAATGCGAGTGAATATTGTTTCATTTTCCTACACTTCCGGAAATCTACGAAGGACCATCAGACCCGCTTTAAAGTTATGTCTCAAAAATGGCAGAATCTCGGCACATTCCTCTGCCATTATAAAGTAGCGCAAACCATTCTCCCATAACTTTTGTATGCCTTTCTCTTAGTATTGCGGATGAATTAATAATGCCATTGGAGGGTTTTAAAGGTGATTCTTACGTATATTTCTACTTCACGTAAATATTGGGAGCTGCAGATTCTTAGTGCTCGTAAATAAAATTCTATAATAAAATCTGGAATAATTATAGGATTTATAAATACATAAATAATTTATCAAATTCAAATAAAATAATAATTAAATTAATAAAAAAAAGAGGATACATGTATATATATATTGATAAATAAACAAATAAGAAGAAAAATTCAACAGCATTTACACACTTTTGTTTATTAGGCAATAAACGACATTACTTAGCGTCTTCCATACTTCACCTTGATTATCACAGTTAATCTTACGAATATTTTTGACTGTTATTACATTTAAAAAATTTGAAAACCAATTAATAATTTTTACTTCTGTTTATAAAAACATGTCGCAAAATTAAATCCTTTCATTTGGCTTGATAAAGAAGAGTTTCCGTCTGTCTTCATATTGTCTTTTCGCAGATTTATTTTTGATTTATATCTGAACTTTTACAAGCAAACAAACACACACACACATATTTTGGCAACATGTTTTCATTAAGACATGTCTCATTAAATAATTTAAATAGGATCCTTTCGCGGACAAATTTATTATTACTGGAAGAAATAAATAAAATTACTGTGTTGATGCATATTCATTTTATCTGGAGAACTTTCGATATTAGCACAATTTCATGATCAGGATCTTGTTTTTCTAAAACAAAACTTGTATTCATCTGAAAATTAAATTTTTACTTTTGAAGTGAAAAAAGCTAAGATTATGTACTGTACGATTTTTTAAATGTTATGATGTAAACACAAGACAAACCTCAAGAGAAGTAAATAAGTATATATATGTTTCAATGAGATTTATTGGATTTGCATAATAACTTCTAAATATATTATATATATATATATATATATATATATATATATATATATATATATATGAAGATAAAATGGAAAAGCATTCGGTTTCTTGTGTAAAGGATATATATATATATGTATGTATGTATGTATATGTATATATATATATATATATATATATATATATATATATATATATATATAGAGAGAGAGAGAGAGAGAGAGAGAAGATGATAAATGATATAAATGTTGATTATAAACCAAATATTTAGGTAAATGTATATTATATATATATATATATATATATATATATATATATATATATATTTCCCGGACAATTCTAATTGTTTTATCACCTCTTAAGCAGAAAAAAAACATTTGCCACCAGTCCAAGAAAGACATTGGGGTTACTACTACACACTCGAAAAAAAATATAATGAAAATTAATTTCTTTTAATAATATGTAGAAATATCCACTCTTTGCCTGTTGAAGATCGCGAGACCGGAAACTCGTGTAGCAAAATATGGAAAATAAAATATAATATATATATATATATAAAATCCACATTATACACTAAAACGTTTGCGGTTTCTCTATATACTATAACCTCTTTCCTATATATATATATATATATGTGTGTGTGTGTGTGTGTGTGTGTGTGTGTGTGTGTGTGTGTGTGAGAGAGAGAGAGAGAGAGAGATGAGAGAGAGAAAGAGAGAGAGAGAATTAGAATTTATACTGATTGATGTTACCTTCAGCATCCAGACTCCCGAATTTCGTAGACGGACCCCCTTGGAAATCACTCCGTCCACTCGTCATTTGGTTTGCATGAAATATCATACACTGAGTAAATGCATTGCAAATTAGGGAAAAATAATTGCAAGACTGAAAGGCGTGCAAACGTTACTGTCAGATTCGGACTGTTATGTCTGTACATCAATAAATCTGTTGCTTAATTATGGCAAAAAAAAAGCACTTACTTGACACTTGATACTGTATATTGGTCATATTTAAGAGGGCACCTCGAGGTGGTGTAATGGCTTGTCTCGCTAGAACAATTACGACTGAGTAGTAATTTCGATTTTCACTAGGTGCCCCATAATTTCGGCCTTGTGCCACATCTAAGCTATGCTTGGAAAATCACTATTGGTCATATTTAAGAAAATTAATACCAAAGGGGAAAAAAGATTTTTGCCTGGCACGTTATGTTCTTTAGGATTCCATCGGACTACGAAACGCATTATACTCGAAAAAACAAAAATATCCACTTTGTTATTAATTTTCTTAACATTGTTTTGAAACAAACCATCATTGTCAGAATGCCCCGCCCATGATTCACTCCGGCCAATTGGTGACCATTCTGGTAATGATACAATATGGTAATCCGTATGGAATTTCCAGGAGGATGTAGATCCTGGGAGAGATCTATGTCAAAAGACAGAACAAAATTATTATTAATTAAAGAATATCAAATATTTAAAATCCCATAAGTAATAATTTTTATTTCATGAGAGCTCTAAAAAAAGGAGCTTACAATCTTCAAGACATACAAACAAATCACAACTGAAAAGTGGGGGGAGTTAACCGTGTAAGCGACGAAATTAAACTGAAATTGACAAAATTGAAGAAAATATAGAGTATTTGCTACAACTGCCGTCTGTTTGTCGATGGTCAACATCATCTCTCTCTATCTCTCTCTCTCTCTATCTATCTCGCCCCCTCTCTATCTCTCTATCTCGCCCCCTCTCCCCACCAAACAGGATCAACATCCAGATTTCTCATACAAAAAAACTCATCAGACGTTTTCTTTTAGAAGAATGATCGCTCAAATGCCCTTCGGGGTCAACGATCGCTCTCATCATCGGATTGATTTCAAATGCCCTTCGGAGTCCACGATCGTTCTCAGTGGATATGCTTAAAATGCGTTTCGTCCAGCTTTGGATCAAATAATTCCCTCTTGTTTCCCTTGCTATAGATGGTAATCAATCCAAAGAGGGCTATACAATGCCTTGTGGTTATCTTCGGAGGAAAAAAAAAGGCTAAGGTGTAAACCCTACACAAATCCGTATTTAGGGTCTGGAAGATGGTTGGATGACGTAATGTGTCATCTTCCGAAAACATCAGCGTCAGTACCAAACGGTAATGTTTTATTCATTCCTTTAAACACTGCCGGCAACGTCGAAACGAGAATCTTGATAAATTCAAAATCTTCATTGCTCATGAACATACCTGGAGTGCTGTGCGCTACAACATCGTCTACTGTGACGAACAGATGATAACTTGAATGTCTGTACGCATTCGTTAATACTTCTTTGAATGGCAGTATGCATAACATCTGTTGCTCTCTATATCTGCGTCCGTTTGCGTGTGTTTACGTGTGTGTGTGAAAGAGAGAGAGAGAGAGAGAGACTGATGGGGGTGAAACAGATCATGTCGTATAAGGCTATAGGCATGTGCCCAAAATCTAACTTACCCCCACACACTGCCCTCTCATTGTTCCTGTCCTTTTACTTGTTCATCGCTTATCGGCATTCCCTTTCATGTCTATCATTTGTCGTCTGTCATTCCGCAGGTGACACATTCCTTACCCATAAGGACCGCCCTCCTAGTTTCGAGTTTAGCTTGACTTCTCACCAACACCGTCTCAAATAAAAACAGCGTTTGGGAAACGAAAGAAAAAAAAACACTAGCAAAAATGAATAAATAAATAAAAATGGCGCTCTTTTAAGACCTGTTGCCTGTTGTGGCAATACAGAGTGATTTTTGACAGATGTTTTTTTAAGGTGGTCCTGCCAAAGACAAATCTTCCACGTTCTTCACTTATTGCTCCTTTTCTGATCTTTTAATAGAAATCTCGAAAATGTGGCATATGGGAACATCAACAATCCCTCTTGTAGTTGGAGCCCTAGGACTGGTTGGAAAAGATTGCAGTAGACTAATTGAAGGGATTCCTAGAAGTCCATGCCTCAAGGAGATACAAAAAATTGTTCTGACAAGTACAGCCCACACTTTACGAAGGGCTTTATCTATGTAATTTCTTTTTTTTTTTTTTTTTTTTTGTCAGTGGAAAGTGTCATGCTGCCATTTCTAACCTTAGGTCCCTGGGCGGGACCCGGAAAGAAATGTGTAAACGCCAGAAATCAAAGAAAATAAAAATAATAACAATAATGATGAGACTTTACAATACACACAGACAGAACAATCAAAGCTAATCACCCAGACATCGTGCTCAGGAAAATGTTATGTCGCTAAGCTGCGGGGAGGAGTTAAGATTTCACCATCATCAGTCGACCGGAACATCGAAACGTCGGAGGCGAAACCGAATAATAATAATAATAATAATTATACAAAATATACCTTCTTATTGATATGGCAGTCCCTGTAGACTGTAATGCATCTTTGAATATCTTCAAAAAGTTACCAAAATACAAGGACCCAGAAATCGAAATCTCCAAAATGTGGCACATGAGAACATCAACAATTCCTGTTATAGTTGGAGCCCTCAGATTGATTGGAAAGGATCCCAATAGAATCATTGAAGGAATTCCTGATAGCCCATGCATAAAGAAATACAAAAAAAATGTTCTCACGAGTACAGCCCAGACCTTACGAAGGGCTTTATCTATGTAAAATATGTGTTTTTTTTTTTTTTGTTTTTTCAAAATTGCCCCGTGGTAATGATGCCATTTCTAACCTCAGGTCTCTGGTCGGGCCCCGGAAAATGAGTACACACAGGAATTAATGAAAATTAATGAAAATAGTAATGATAATAATAATAAATTTACAATACACACAGACAGAACAATCAAAGCTAATCGCCCAGACATCGGGATTAGAGACTGCAAAGATAAAATGTGGCTTCTTATTGACATGACGGTCCTTGCTGACTGCAATGCATCTTTGAAGATCATCAAAAAATTATCAAAATACAAGGATCCTCAAATGGAAATCTAAAAAGAATGTGGCACATGAGGACATCAACAATTCCAGTTGTATTTGGATCCGTCGAATTTATTGGAAAAGGATCCGATAGATTAATTGAAGGGATTCCTGGTAGACCAAACCTTAAAGAAATATAAACAAGTTTACTCACAGCCAAAATATGTGTGACCTTAGGGTTTTTTTTCCTCAAAAAATGCTCAGTGGAAAATGTCATGATGTCATTTCTGACCTTAGGTTTCTGGTTTGGACCCGGAAGGAAATGCGTATACAACAGAATTCAAATGAATAATATCTACAGAAGAAAGGCACATTTAAAAACCTTTACATGGGAATTTTTCAAAGCATGGAATAATGACAAGGTGAAAAGTCTTTTAAATTGTTGTAAAAAGGTGATTTAATAAAGGAAACGAATGGTTAATTGCAGCATAGGATCAGGTGATTAGAAGGAGAGCAACCAGAAAATACGTGAAGAAGACATTTCAGCATGCAGATTGTGCAATAATGCAGATGAGATTATCGAACATGGATTATCGGAAGATTTGCAAAAATTGTACACCCAAAAAGTTGGCTGAGATTTTACATTGCAATTTTTGTCACACATTTGATCGTGTCAGTAAATGGTATAATCGATGAGAAAAATGTATAGATTTTATAGAACATGAAGATTCAAACGAATAAAGAAAACAGTTTTTGAGAGCTTATTGACGTTGATCGCTCGTTTGATACGAAAGTAGTCGAGGAAGAAGAACAGAAAATTGAGAATCATACAGACTTAAAGTACGAAATCAAAACAAAGTGGAATTGTCAAAAGGTATAGAGTGTGTTTATTGTATTCAGAGCGCATTAGGAAGTGTGTCAGAGAAGTTTGATCATTGGTTGAAAGCAGTGGATTTACCAATGAGTTTTTATAGTCAGATGTGGTACAAGACTGAAAGTACGGGGCACCAGTGACTTTTTATATGTTGTAGAAGGACTGTTTCTTTAGCACAGAACAACCAGAAAAATACCCGGTATCTAAGACTGATGAAGGATTATTATCTGGTAAATCCTTTATGATTTTGTATTGCTAATCTATAAAATCTTCTTTCAGATTTACAGGATTAATTTATTTGAATCTATTTTTAATGATTGATCTGAGAAAGTGGTCATATATAGATGTTAGTTTAAACACGACTGAATAAATTGAATGCTATGCCTAACACTCATATAAAATGTTACATCTGATAAAGATATTTAAAAACATGACTCGTTTTCATGTCAATAGAGCCAAAATCTCATCAGTTTACAGTTGAAACGGTATGATTTAACCTTAAGTTCTATGCTAATTGTTTCTTCTCTTACAATTCTTGCTTTTCAGTCAACATTGATTTTCAAAAACTTAAATGAAATGTCAATGATTACCTTCTATTTTCTTGATTCCTGATCTTTTATTGGTGTTTCTCCTTAAAAGTGTTTTTTTTTCTCATTCAATTTTTCTCGCCAGTATCTACCTTACATATTTATAAGTCTACCATTCATCTTTGCTTTCAATATTACTGCCACATATGACATGGTGCTCCTGCCACATATGACATGGTGCTCCTGCCACATATGACATGGAGCTCCTGCCACATATGACATGGTGCTCCTGCCACATATGACATGGAGCTCCTGCCACATATGACATGGTGCTCCTGCCACATATGACATGGAGCTCCTGCCACATATGACATGGTGCTCCTGCCACATATGACATGGTGCTCCTGCTATATATTTAGAAATTCTTGATAAAATCGAAAGAAGAATCTGCAATGTTGCTTCATATCCAGTATGTTCAAAATAAAATAATAACATTCAGTAAAACTACAAAAAGAAAATCTTTCTTATTTTTCTTATTACTGAGTTCGAGGGTAGCACGTCACCAAATTAAGACTCGAGTAGAAATGTATGATGGTCCGACACCCAGCCTGATAAAGGTATATACAACTGTTTACGATATTGTGACCTGTTTAGATAAAAGCAACGCATAAACATACAGGTGGCGCTCAGTTAGTGAGTGCCCTGATGGATACATTGGGCTTTGAATATTTGTAACAACACCTCCTGCCCCCGGCATCATTTGGTTGGCGTGCTCTTCAATCAATCAATCAATCAATCAATCAATCAATAATAAATGATAGGGGCTGATACACTGTGCATCTCAGTTCATGAACGGACTTAGTGAGGGCATTTAATAAGGGGTCTAATCTCGTGGGATTGTATTTATTGTTTGAAGGGTTACGGTTACCAGAACATCATGGAAATTACATCTATATACTCGCGAACATCCTAAATCAGATCCTATTTGAATGAAATGATTTGTCAAAACCTGAAAGTATTTCTAACACGGGTCTCATTGGTAAGAATATGCATTGTTGTTATCAAAACCTGTCCCTATATCGGTGCACATTTAGATGTGTTGTATGTGCCTGGTATAACCTTATCAGAGTGGGTGTTGTGATGGATACATTGGGCTTCATATATTCGTATCTCTACACTTGGCGTGGTGTAATGGTTAGCAAGCCTATCTCGCTAAAACAGTTACGACTAAATAATGAGTTCGATTCTCACTGGGTGCCCCATACGTCCGACCTTTTTGCCACATCTAAGCTACGCTTAGAAAAGCAATATTTCTACATCTGCGTAACTTTGTGGGCGTGCCGCTTTCTTAATAATAATAATAATAATTACTTGCCGACCGAGAAACATACATAATCTTTGGGTGAGTGTGAAGGGGAGAAAGTTACGAAAGTTAAATAAAAGCCAAAACCCCCAAAATTAAGGCAAAAGGAAAAAAAATAAATGAATGTTGGCTGGATACCAAGAAAGAATAAGCAAAAGATTGATAGACAGGTAGGGGGGGGGAGCTGTAAACACTGTGATTATTTCAAATTCTTTACGGAAAGATAGAGCAAAAGAAAGGTAAACAAAAAAAAAT